TAGTAAACTTTTTTTCCTCTCTTCACAACAATATTTCTAGAAACTAGTTGATATATATATATATATATATATATATATAATAAATAATTCAGTAATTTTTATAATAACAAACTTATCAATTTTAATATATATTTTTAAGTGTAAAATAATATATATTACTTTTTTAATTAAAAAAAACTCAAAATATAATTATTATATATATATATATATATAGCTTCACCTTACCGTCTCAAGATATTTCTTTACTTGCTAACGTAACATGTTACGTTCCACTGATCCATTTCATTACTTTGTTTTTTGTTTTCGTTTTGTATTGTGATTGAATAACTTCAGAAAAGTATTACTACTTACTAATAGTTAATACAAATATGATTAACCAAAGCATTAGGTGGGACATATAGGATGTCAAAACGGGTCGATCTGTCCTGTTTTGGTCCGTTTCGCTTTTTGCCCGCTAAAAGTGAGACGGATGAGCTGACCGATATAGTCATGACGGATCAGAACCTTGGTCCGTCCCGCCAGTGGTGGTCATGGCTGACTCGCCATAATTTTAAAAAAATATTTTTTTAAATAAATTTTTTTAATAAATTTAATAATAAAATTATTATTTGTTTGTCAATAATTCAATATATATATATATATATATTATTTCAATTTAATAATATAAATCAATATATTATTTTAAAAAATTATAATTTAAAACAATAATAAAATTTACGTAATAATAAATAATAACAAATATATATATATATATATAAATAACGTTAAACTTATAAAATTTATATTTTTTATATTGAAAAATTTAAATACCTATATCTTTTTTATTTGATAAAACTTCATGTTATTCTTGGTTCAAGTAATTATTACACCTTTAATTCAAGTAATAAAAATAAAAATAATCAGTGTTTAGGATAAACAAGGAGAACATAAGAGAAGATTATATTTCAAGAAGGAGAATATTTTTTTTAATTTATTTTTTTAATTTTTAATTTTATATATTATTTTTATATTTAATTTTATTATAATAAAAATTTAATTTTTATTAATTAGGCAGAGCATACCTAATCAGCCACGAGTTGATCCGAGGATTGACCGGCTTAGACGACAAAAAAAAAAAAAAGGACTAGTATGCTTAAAACAGAAACCTGCGCCGTCAGCCCGCCGGACACGCCATTGACTATTGAGGGTATTCTCATTGGTCACGGAAGCGAGACAGCAATCAATTTTGCAATTGGTCTGTGATTAGACATCATTTGTCAAAGGTGCGCCCTTCATTCATTAGGTTTAGGTGGGAGGTCTGTCACAATTGACTTAATTAAAACCTAATTATAGATAATAATAATTAACTTCAATCAATTTTATAATTTTTATCTGTTGTACAATATATATATATATATATATATATATATATATATATATAATAATTAAACCATTTTACAAATCATATGTTCGTAATATTGTTGTTTAATTCATAAAATATTGCAAAACACTGTTTTCTCCGGAATGGCTGCTTGGGTATATTTTGACCATTGTGGATTATTTCCAGAAAATTCTAAATTGGATGATTGACGGAAAAGCTTTCAGGTGAGTGCGTTCAAAAGTTATGACAAATAAAATTCAATTGTCTTTTTTCTCTTTCTCTACCACTTTTCCTTCTTACGTATTTAAATATATGATAAGTTTAATTCTTTTCTTTTTATTCAAATATATTTATAAATTGTACTTATATAAATAATAATTATAAATTACTTTTTATTATGAAATTTTATCGTAAATATTTAATTACATGTTTCTTTTTTCAAACTATTTATAGAAAATATTTATAAAGTGTTGGATACAAGAGAACTTTTCATTTTTTTTTACATCTAGTATGAATTTCAAAAAATGACATTGTCAATAAATAAAGTATGAGAACATAAAAAAATTAAGTTAAATGCAAGTTTTAACGTTAAAACATACCGTTTTATTATTAATAACAAATCATTTAATGTGATAAAATAACATTTTTAGTTTTTTTTTCATTCCAAGAAGGTTATATAAATATTTTTTAAAATAATTTAAATAAATTTTAATTATTCCTTTAAATCTTGATTTATAATTCCATGATCCTCATAAATATATTTTTCATTCTTACATGCATTATTTGGTTGTGGATAGCATGTTTAAAGAGGAAAATTAAATTTTAGAAATATCTTAGGGTCAATTCTCACGTTTAAGGTATTGTTCGCTTTAAAATTTTTGTTTATAACAATTTTGTCCTTAAAAGACGTCTGAATGGATTAAGAGATAAATGTGTATATAAAGTACCTCTAGTCTCGACTCCTGAACGAGGTGAGACTCGTGAGTATACCAGAATATAAGTCCCCAGTCGAGAACTAAAGAGTATGTATGAGTGGAGTGAAACTCTACTCTCGGTCTCACTATGGACACTAATGTTTCATCTAGGAACAAGAGTGTCCCGACCTCATATTCATTATGGTAATATCGCTAGGATCGATCTTTATGTTAGAGGTATTATCCGCTTTAGAACTCTTATTCATTACGATTTTGTCTTTAAAATACGTTTGACTTAAGATAAGAGAATGTATATAAACTACTATTGATTTCGACACAATTCTTCGGACATGAGAATTAACTCTAACGATGTTATCATAGTTGACAGGAGGTCAAACTACTTTCGTTTTTAGACAAAATATTGATGTTCACCGTGGGACCGAAAGTAAAGTCTCACTCCACTCATACCCCTTAGTCCTCGACTTGGGGACTTATATTCCGATACCCTCATGAATTTCACATCACTTAGGAGTCGAAACTAAATATAATTTATATATATTTTCTTCTCTTAACCTACCAAGGTACATTTTAAGGACAAAACTGTAATGTAACAATATTGTTTCTAATATACTTTAAATATGACAAACATTTCTTTTATTTTATTTAATACTTTACTTTCACTATATTGAGGTTTTTTTTAGTCTAGGAATGATATATATTTCGCTGAGTAATTTCAAATTTGTTCAACAAATTAAGTTTGTTGAATAATATATTTATATTTTTAATTTACTCAATGCTTTTATCAATTAAAAGGATTTTCAAACAGAATACAAATAAATATATTTGACATTTATTTTATCAATTATAACTCTAGAAATTAGGAGTTCAAGAAAAATATTAGTATATAAAAGGAAAAATAATTAATTTTGTTTACATATTGATGTTGAGACTCACGAGGGATGTTGAAGTGAAGTATTCAGGCTGTTCAAGTGGTATGTTGAAGTGAGAAAAAAACTAAATTCAATATATTAAATATTAGAAATATATTATTCAGAACTCCTAAATGATACTTATCTATTTGAGATAAAAAAAATAATAAAATTTGAATTAATGTGTGATTGATCATTCTATATGAGATTGGTGTATACCTATATATGAGAAGTATTTTGCTTAAGATTATTGTATAAAACTAATAAGTATTAAAAGATACAGCTAAATTATGCACTACAAGAAATTAAATATTTATATATTTATATATTTCTATATTTATATATTTATATATTTATATATTTATATTTTTATATTTTTATATATTTATATATTTATATTTTTATATATTTATATATTTATATTTTTATATATTTATATATTTATATATTTATATATTTTTATATTTATATATTTATATATTTTTATTTTATATATTTTTATATTTATATATATATATATATTTATATATAATTAAATATTTTTATATATTTATATATAATTAAATATTTATATTTTAAAATTATTTAATTTAAGAAATTATTATAAATTAATCTAATTATGATTAAATTAAATTATTAAATAAAAAATATTTAATTTTTTAATTAGGTGAATATTTACTAATTGTTAATTTACCAATGAAATATCCGTCAGTAATTTACAGATGAATTTACCGATACCGACAGATTTATCGACCGGATATATCCGTCGGTAACTAATTATTATTTTACCGACGGATATATCCGATCGGTAAAATCAAATTCCACAAATATTTTATATCCATCGGTAATAATTATTTTCCGAACGAATTTAAATCCATCGGTAAATATCCGATCGGTAATACGTGATTTTCTTGTAGTGATGATTGCGTGATATTTAAGGAAGTGAATTCAATAAGATAACAAAAATTAACTAATATCCTAAATTATATATTAAATAATTAAGTAGAGGAATTGAGACCAAAATAAATTAACTTGTCTCGTTTCTAATATTATTAAAAATGTGATAAAATTAGTTAATTTGTTATAACTTGGAGAAGTTGTAGACCATAACTCATCTCACCCTCTTAAATCTTTATACATTAATCATATTAGTTAAACCAATTGAAGGTTGGTTAATAAATTAAAGAGTATTAATAACATATTTATAAAAGTAATTATAATAATAATAAGAATATAATTATAATTATTTTTCATTAGATGATTATAAATATAATATATAAATATTAAATTTTAAATTTGATACTTATCATGTTTTGTGATTTTATATAGACATTTTTAATATAATAACTTATATGAATACTTATTTACTTTAAAAATATAAAATATAAAATTATTATTTATAATTAATTTTATTTTAATATATTTTTAATAAATTCATTTTTTATCTTAATTTTTATTTTATTTAAACAATTTATTTTATCATAAAATTTATCCTGTAAAAATTTATATAAATCAATTAATAATTTATTTAAGTATCATGGCAACTCACCAAACGGCTGTCGTCTAAAATCCTCTTACCCAATTGCATATCATATAAAGGAGATCTGCATTAATAAATAATATTCTAAGTCTTAACTTCATAATAATTATTAAAAGATTTTTATATTATTATTTATCTCCTCAATCAATCACACAAAATATTATTATTTTAAGGTTTGTAATTTTGTAAAAGGGTTGATGTCAATGCATATTTTTCCATGGTTAAATCGTGTCTGGCCATACTGTATACCAAAAACAATGATCTCTTTGGTATTGTTTGTGTTCCTCACGTTCTTGTTCACCTTCTCATGGGTGAAACAGTTGGGAAAGCCTTCTGCAGAAAAGAGACTGCTACCTCCAGGGCCAAGGAAACTACCCTTCATCGGCAACCTGCACCAGCTGGGAGCATTGCCCCATCGATCCCTTCAACACCTTTCACGTAAGCATGGACCTCTCATGTTCTTGCAGCTGGGTTCCATACCCACCGTGATAGTCTCTTCTGCTGACATGGCTAAAGAGATCTTCAAAAACTATGATTCAGTTTTCTCTGGAAAGCCTCTACTACGCGCTGCGAACCGCTTAGGATACGGTTCAAGCGTGAGCTTTGCACCGTACGGTGAGTACTGGAGGGAAATGAGGAAAATCATGATGTTAGAGTTACTGAGTCCTAAAAGGGTTCAATCGTTTGAAGTTGTGAGGTTTGAAGAGGTAAAACTTCTGCTTCAGTCTATTGCTCTCTCTCCTGGTCCTGTCAACCTGAGTGAACTGACACTTTCGTTGACTAACAACGTTGTTTGTCGCATTGCTTTCGGGAAAAGGAACAGGGGTGGTGCAGATGATGCAAATAAGGTTTGCAAAATTCTCAAAGAGACGCAGGAAATGTTGGGAGGGTTCTTTGTAGTTGACTTCTTTCCACGGTTGGGGTGGCTGGACAAGTTCAGTGGCCTTGAAAGCAGACTAGAGAAGAATTTCAGAGACATGGATAGCTTGAGAAAGTGATTAAGGAGCATGTTGATCACTCTTCAGAGAGGACAGGAGCAGAGCATGAAGATATTGTGGATGTGCTTCTTCGAGTTCAGAAGGATCCGAATCAAGCCATTGCCATTACTGACCACCAAATCAAGGGTGTACTAGTGGTACGTTTACAAAAAGAAATTAAAATAGAAATGAAATTATTTTTTAGATTATTAAATAATTATAAATGAAATATTTTTCATTTTTAATTTAATTGAGTAAATGGTGATCATAATGTAAAATATTAAAAAAATAAATCATTATACAAAATCAACTTTATTTCCTGTTTTTGAGACTACAAGAGGAGATATAATTCATTATGTATTTGGTGGAAAAGTATTTATTTTAAAATATGTTATGTGTACAGTTTTTAATTTGAAATTAAATGATAATAAAATATTATATAAGAGGGAAATAGGATGAATATTTTCCATATATATATATATATATATATATATATATATTTGGAAAAGTATATCTTAGCAACTCTTTCTGAAAAAAATTATCCAATAATTTTATTTATTAATATAATATCAATAAAATTTTAATTTTTTATGTTTGTTATTATTATATTATTAAATATAAATTGTAGGATAGATTTTAAAATTGAATCATCTGTGTTTTTATTTTTATTTTTTGAAAGTACAAGTGGAAACAGAATTAATAATATGTTTGGTGGAAGAGATGCAAAAGATAAATAATTTTGAAATAAATAAACGAAAACATTATATTGTTTTTTTATTTATTTAAAATTTATATCTTTAGTCTATTCAGTTTTAAATTCACTGTTTATATTATTACTTTACCAATTTATTTTGGTATGATATATTTCTTTCGTCTATAAAAATAATAATACTAAAGTAAGAAATTGTTGGTCTTGTTTTTTATGCTTCCTTCTCTTTCAAAGTAATATGTCGTGGAACAACTATTCCAAACTTTATCCTTTCATAACTTGGACACTTTTTTATTTTTCAAAAGCTCGTCACTATCACTAGCATCAAGGTTCTGCTTATCAATAGCATAAAAACATTAGGTAATAACCAAACTATGTAAGCACCGCAGTGTCAAGAAGAATCATGCACTTAGGTATTTTAGATAGTTGTCTACTTATATAAGAAAAGTAAATATATTTTTAAAAACTAAATTTAGTTTATACACGAATTGAAAATCATGTCTTAAAATTTATAAAACAAGGTTTATCCTTTAAATATATATTTTATAAAGTTAATCATATTTTTAGTTAACGTGAATTTTCAAATATTTAAACTCTAATGTTATTTTAAAAATAGAAAGAAAGATGTTAACTTAATTTTATAAGTTCTATAAGATAGAATTTGAATTATATATATATATATATATATATATATATATATATATATATATATATATATATATATATATATATATATATATATATATATATATATATATATATATATATTATAAATGTCCGACCTGTGTTGACAAATGTACAATAAAAATCTCATAAAATCTCGCGATTCGTTCTTTAGGATCAAGATGGATTCTTGAATTTTTTTCATATTCCTCGTTGTTCATTAATCTGATATAAATGATAATTTATCTGACTGGAGATCTATGTAGGACATCTTTGTAGCAGGAACTGATACTGCTTCAGCCACAATGATATGGACAATGTCTGAGTTGCTTAGGAACCCGAAAACAATGAAAAGAGCACAAGAAGAAGTAAGAGAAATTATGAAGGGAAAAGAAATGGTAGAAGAGATTGACCTCTCAAAGCTCTTGTACCTCAAGTCAGTTGTGAAAGAGGCACTGAGACTCCATCCTCCTGCGCCATTGCTTGTGCCAAGAGAGACCACAGAGGCTTGCATGATCAAAGGGTTTGAAATCCCTGCCAAAACGCGGGTGCTTGTTAATGCAAAATCAATAGCAATGGATCCAACTTCTTGGGAGAATCCAAATGAGTTCTTACCAGAGAGGTTCTTGGATAGCCCAATAGATTTTAAAGGACAACACTTCGAAATGTTGCCATTCGGGGTAGGGCGAAGGGGTTGCCCTGGAGTGAACTTCGCCATGCCACTTGTTGAGTTAACACTTGCAAACCTTCTGTTTCGTTTTGATTGGGAGCTGCCTCGTGGACTTGGAATAGAAGACTTGAATATGGAAGAAGCAATTGGAATAACCATACACAAGAAAGCTCATCTTTGGCTGAAAGCCACTCCCTTTCACGAGTAGTGCTTTCTCCTTTTTGTTCAATGTTCATTTTTAAAACATGTGTCATGTTTATGTTATAGTTTAAGAAAACAATAAATATAAACTGGGTGTTAAAGATTATGATAAAGTTTTTAATATTAGTGGAAGAAAATGCAATGTGATAAAATTAACATTTAGATGTGGTTCTCTTGATCATATTGGTGTGTCAAAACAGCTTCTGTCTAGTAGAGAGATCTATGCTTAATTGAGGTTGATTGTTATTTTCGACCATCTTGTTTTTCTAGTGTCCGGAGGATAGTTAGAGTGGTGATTTGACCGATTTTTTGTTAGACGGTTGGATTGGTTATACTCTGCTACAACAACAAGTGGTTCGTAGATTGTATATGATTTTTGAAAAACAAGAATGCTCTTATTTTTTATACGGGAAAGTGAATATAGATGATGCCTAAAGGTGCAAAAGTGTTGCACTAAACCTTTCTTTACCTCGGAGGAGGATATTTTTTTGGGATCTCGTGGCTTTGGTCTCTAATACTCAATTAAAAAAAGGGAAAATGGTCTGTTGGAAATTGAGGGAGGACTCTTGTAATATACATTTAAGGGAAGTGGTTGAGATGTGCTTGGCATCTAAAATTTGATAAAGGGCAAGTAAATCGGTGTTTTGCTGGTATGAAATAATTTGATTAATTAAGAGTGAATGGTACGTATGATTCCATTAAATGGGCTCTACCAAGAATTTCAAGCACCATTAGTTCAATTAATTGCACCGAACTAATTCGCACATGCAATTGCTTTTAGTAGCCAAAATTATCCAAGAAACATGTGTATTCCTGTGATTATGAACAGATAATAAAGGCATTCCCATCCATGATAGCCCACAGATTATTTGGCCTACAGTAATACCTCTCCAAAATGGCTTCAGTAAACAAGCAATCTTACCGAAGACTGAAAAATGAAGAAGAATTGGAGGAAGAAATAGTAGAAAAAGAAGTGAAAAAAGCAAGGGCGTGGCTCAAGTTTAGGACTCTAGCGGGTAGAAGAAGGCCAAGGCTTCGTGTTGCAGCACTGAGAAGATTCCTTAGAAAAAGAACCAAGCTTCTCTCTAGATTCAGGGTTTCGTGGCGCAGGACCTTGAAGAGATTGAAGCATGGACAGAGTCACGTGAATGATCTTTTTGGAGGAAATTTCTTATTAATGCAAGGAAATCTTGCTCCTTTCAGATGTGGTAAGAAACCTTACATGGGTTATGGTCCTCAACGATTATCGACAACTATCCGGTAGGAATTTTCTCTTTCATGGTACAGGAGAATTTATATTCCTGCTACTTGTTTTCTACAACTGTGTCTGCAATCAACTAAGATAAAAATATGAATATTATTTTTACTCAATGATAAATATTGTTTTCTCTTGGGCTAGAGGGGCTATATATGCCACCGGTTTTTTTTTTCTTTTGTCCTTGTTCTTTAACTTGTACATATGGAACTTATTTCCCTAAAATAAAGAAAATCATTTTATCAGAGAATCATCATATCATATTACAGTCTTTCCTTATATATTTATCTTCCAACATGGTAGAATATATATATATATATATATATATATATATATATATTGTTTGGTGAATCAAAATATTTATATAAGCTTTTTAGAAATTAAAAAAATGATTTGTTATTTGCAGTAAAAAATGTATATATTTTTTGAGGACAGTGGAAATATTGAAATTAAATTAAAAAAAAAATGTGCTAGCATAACATGGAAATCTTAATAGAGTTACTAACTTGAGTTTAACAGAACGTAACATAGACCGATCCAAAATTATATGACTTTTGTTCTTAACATGTGAGTCATAGGCAATGGACGACTTACTTGAACAATTAGGAACTGTATTAATGATCCATCATTATAGTATTTTTGGTCCATATAATAATTTTATTCATTTGATATCTACGTATATATTTTAACTAGCGATTATTTATATTTATTATAATATATATTGCAGACCTAATTGTAGGTGAAATTTAAGGCATCATGCATCTGCAAAGAAATGATACTTTTGGACGTTGTGGACTATCGACCGAACTGCCGAAATCGTGGTCGCTATTGTGAGCAGAAAAGAAAAAACAATGTTGAACCAGTGCCACGCCTTCTTCTCTATCCTAGCTGTTCTTCCCTTCACCTAAAATTGAAGCAAAATTAAGCAAAATTATCCAAGTTTGACTAACTCTACTTGGGGTAACTAGTTGGTTAGTTAAAGCTTCGTTTTGTGTAGTGTATAGGTGTAATTAACTATATATAAAATAACCTTGATGAAGACCATGCTGGGGAACATGAAGGTTAGAGGAACGAGTGAAAAAGAGCCCAGAAAGTTTACAAAGTCACCCATAAAAGGAAATGCTGCAGCAACGAAGGTGTTCCCTGTAAAGAAAAACGCGCGTAGGAGAAATAAGCGTTTCAAGTTCTCCCCTGAATGCATGGCCTTGTCGATGTGTAGGAACTTTGTGTCCAACGCCTCCAGAATTGGTGCTACAAACATCTGCATTTGCATTTTTTCAGAACATCAAACACCATTCAAGTTTTTACAAATTATTTTTTATATTATCATATTCGAACAAATTCAGTTAAACACATCTGAAAGCAGCATATTCTTTTACTAAGATGCTACGTTACATACGTGTTGGGAGACTATGGACTGCAAAAAGACGATGGCATTAATGAGAACTTTGATCCATTTGGGACCACTTAGGTTTTCAGGAAGATATGCCGATACCACCGATCCATAAGCCCAATATCCCATTACGGTAACACCATAATAGAACACAACTCCCACTGTATACTGTAAATACAGGGCCTTCCTCATGTTCTTCACTGTAGGCTTCCGTAGAGTCGACTGCATTCATTTCAAAACACTCCTTCATAATCCAACTATTCTTTTATAATATGTACTTCAAAAATAAAAAAATATTCCATTGCTTTTAAACACCAGTAATGATCACATAATCTATTATCATTATGTTAATAAAATGGATTCTCAATTGAGTATATACTTCATACCATATCTCAACTTTCTTTAAATAATTATTCATATTTTTTAGATATATCACATGTTTGTTATTTTTTATAAATACTACTTTTAAAAAACAATATTTTATAGCTGAAAGTTATAAATGAACATTCAAGATTTAAATGCAAAACATTCCTTGTTAGTTGTTTTATTATTTAATAATTGGTTACGTATAATAAATTCGTAAATATCATGTTTATGAAAATAGTATACATCGAAGTATACTATTTATTAAAATATCTATATATCGAATTTGTGGTGGATAGTTTGTACAATAAAATTGATCAAGTAAAGATTTGACATCAAGAAGTCTGGAATATAAGGATAAAGAAATGATTGAGTAGAAACATGATGGTTCCTAATTACAATTAAATTATTTTATTACTAAATTTAATATGTCTACATCTTACGAAACCAAAATCTTAATTTTTTCAATTGCGTATTAAAGTCAAAACTAGTAGCAGAAAAATAAATAGATATACTTATGCATGTCACATCAGATATCAAGTAGGAGTAAAATAATGTAGTTATTGCTATTTTCGCGTTCAAATAGCAATAAATGGTTAGGGTTGAATTACTAGAAATATGACCTGTATCTCTGGGAGCAAGCCACTGGTGTTGGTAACAATGATAGCAGAAATGGCACCAAAAGAATTGAATACCTTGCTCACTTCACTGCCACTGATTTCGAAATCCCTGTTGGAATTTGATTTCCCTACCAACCACAAGTATTGGTGGGGGCAAACTTTAACACTATGGTTTTTGAGAGGAAGCTGAAGAGAAGAATGTAAGTGTAATGCTTAATTACCATACCATCTTTGATTAAAACAATGAAAAGAAATATTATGTATGTGAAGGTGAGCACTGCAGAAACCCCCAACCAATTTTTCATGGCAGACATTGTTGGGATGGAGAAGGAATAAAAGAAGTAAGCAGCTCCTGTTATGACTATGTAGTATTGGAGCCTCAGGGGAGAATCACTAAACTCTGAGGTGATTTCCTGTACAAAACAACCACTTTCAACATGTTACATATTATACCACAGTTAATTAATTTATAATCACTTTAAATATTAATTATAAAATAATTTTATTTACCTTCAGTGCCTTGCCTCCGAGGAGGATGAAGCCCATATTTCCAAGAAGAAGGGTCAAGAACTGGAAAACCCATGTGGTATGGTACATACTCTTGCCTTGCCAAATTAAGGAATAGTTAATGTATGGAAAACAAATTATAAAACTATGTCACTGCAAAAGCAAGTATATGAAAATTCACCATAAACATATCCCATAAGGTCTCTGTATCTAATGAATCTGATATCATCAACGATGTGAAATGCTGCCAAGAGCCAGTTTGCATAGGCGGTGTAGAGACCCACAACAAGAAGGCAAATGATACCCCAAGTCCAACCCAGTGGCCACATCACCAGATTGGAGAAACTTAATATCCACCCACAATTGAAGCTTGTCACCAGCATCAACCCCACTTGTTGCCACGAATCTGCATATCGTAACCCATTTCATCATGAAAAAAACAAATACAATCTCAATTCTCAAGGAAACTTGCTACTTAGATTGTTTTAGAAAGTCAAAACACCCCAAAAGGTTTAAATTTTAAAATAAAACAACAATAGTTGAACAGAACTTGGCATAGATGGTGAATTACCACGGTCAATAGTATGAGCAGTAGCCAAACCATAATCATCTTTCTGAGTAACCTTTTCTTGACCTTGTTCGATGCTCAGAGTGGCTCTTCCTTCTTCATCCATGGTGAATCACCTCTGAAAAGAAAACAAGATTTGCTCCTTCAAAGTTTACAACTTGGTATTAAATTTATAGAAGTGGAAATGAAATAATATGGATAAATATGACCATTTGACAGTTCCATGCCTTTGAAGGATTATTCTATAAGGAAACAGACCAATATATTTTATTCCTTGTGAATTTTAAGGGAGACCCGTTGGTTTGAAAACAAGGGCCTTTTCTAGTCAGTATATACAAGTGGAGTATCTATTAATTTTATTAAAAACCATTTCTTATACAAAAAAAAAACCTTTATTAATTATTTTCAATATTTTTTAGGTTTTTTTTTATCCATGATGTATACCGACTTAGAGTGAACATCGTATTTAGGATATACATAAAAAATCCTTGACGTTGTTTCATTAATATATTTAAGGATATCTCGTACAATTGCATGATAGATTTTAAAAAGCATCTCACATATGGTATGAGTAAAAAATATAAATAAAATACAAGTCTCAAAAGTTGTGAATTTTTCAAAAAATAAAAGATGTAGTCTTGTTTTTTTTTTTTTAATTATAAATCGTTTAATCATCATATATTAACAATATATAATAATTGTACAACATCTTTAATAATAAAAAACATTCTTTTACTTATAAAGTTTGTATATTATTATTATTATTAGAGATTAGCATTATCAATTAGAATAATTTAATTATGATAGAATTTAATAATAATATAATAATTTTTATTTCGTTATTTAGGCACAATTGTGTATAACATTTAATATTTTTCTGATTTTCAAGGATAGATTAGTGTATAGGTTTATTATTTTGTATTTTATTTATACCTCTTTTGTATCTTTTCCAAAATAAGAAATACATAAATGTATCTTCCTTCCATCTGGATCATTCTTAGCCTAGCGCAGCCAACCATGGAAGAGAACAAGATAAGAGGTTCGACCACTAGTTTGGTCAAAAGACATGCTCTTCTTATCACTAGTCACAAATTGAATGACCAAAATTACACTCAATGGGTGCGTTAAATTAAAATCTTTCTTCAAGGTTACATTACCGGAGACTCCAAGTGTCCAGTAGAAGGTGACCCTAATCTCAAGAAATGACAATTAGAAAACAGTTTATTCATGTCATGGTTACTCAACACCGTGACCAATGAAATTGGGGAGCATTTCATGTACTATGACATTGTCAAGGAGATGTGGAATGCAGTAAAGGAAACATACTCACTCAAATGTGGACAATACGTACGTGATATTTGAGATCAAGAACATACTCCATAAACTGCGATAAGGTGATTTCTCAGTCACTAAGTATTTTAATACACTCAACCGACATTGGTAACCACTAGACATATATAAAAACGTTCAATGGAATTGTGTCAAGGATAAGAAGAAGTATACAAAATTGGTGGAGAAAGATAGGATCTACAAGTTCCTATTGAGACTAAACACATAA